AGCTGCTGCTTTTGTGCTTGTGCATGCACCGCTAAATCCAGGCCCTAACCACCCGCTTACAGCGACTGAGAGAACTACTAGCTGGTGCTAATGGATCTATGTCTGTGCAGAACCGGGGGTGGGTCTTCTTCCTTTCCACCTGCAAACTACTGGCTCTTATCAGCCTCTTGTCACTGTTTGGTCTTTAAGATGCCACCAGACTGTTGTGTTTTACGTTTTTCTCCTTACAGACTAACTTGGCTTCCCCTCTGAAACTTATCTACTCACTGTCTCTTTTTTTTCTTCCTCCCCTCCATTTTTGTTTCCTTCTTCACCCCCCCCCCTTCCTCCCTTCTTACCTTATTTATTCTTGAAGCTGGACTTCTAACGCTCCTATCATCTGAAGAAGTACCCACGAAAGCTCGTGATAATTAAGGTGCTTTAAGACTCTTTGTTTTTCTAAGTTTTTCTTGTTACAGACTAATTCGGCTACCCCCTGAAGCTTTTGAGATAGTACATATGGGCTTTACAGGGCTCCCCACCTCTGTCCTTGGAGTTGGGCAGATGTAATTTCCCTCTCCAGGGGCAGGGAGGATACTCACCTAGCTGCCCTAAATAGGTACCCCCAGCATACGGGCAGATTTAAATGTACAGCAGAGTGCTATGCCCCTGCTCTGCCCGTGCTCCCATAGTTATGTCTAGCATGTTAGCTGGATGAGACAGCTAGTATTACTATGTCTATCACAGCTGGGAATCACATTATACTCTCTCCCCCTCCCCCCCCTTAATAACTGGCTTTGTGCAATCATCTGTTTAGAAAATCTCAGGCTACGTCTACACTGCAGGCTTCTTGCTTTGCACAAGAGTTCTGCCATGTGTTTTTGTGCAAGCGCATCCATGGCTGTGTGGATGTGCTCTTGCACAAGAAAGCTCTGATGGCCATTTTAACCATAAGGGTTTCTTGTGCAAGAAACCCCTATTGCCCATCCACACTGCCTTCTTGCGCAAGAGGGCTTATTCCTTGTGGGCAAAGGAATAACTCTTATGCAAGAAGCCTTCCGTTCTGACACTTTACTGTAAATTTACTTGCACAAGAACACACATGCAGTGTAGATGTTCCGCACGTTTTTGTGCAAGAATGGCAGTTCTTGCACAAGAAGCCTGCAGTGTAGATGTAGCCTCAGTGTATATTGCACTAAAGCCTTTGCAATAGGCGCTGCTGCATTGGGAGCTTAAACTTAGACCAGGACTGGGCAAAATATGGCCTGCAGGCCAGAGGCAGCCAGCAGAGCCAGCCTGCCATCCAGTGAGAGCCTTGGCCAGGCTCCCTGCCTGACCCATCCCTGCACACTGCTCAGAGCAACCAGTTGCGGGAGCCTATGCATCTCTGAGCACCACCCTGAGCAATGGGGAAGAAAGACTTCACGCATTGCTCTGCCCATAGCACAATCTCACAGATCCCATTGGCTGGAAACTGGCCAAGGGGACTCCGTGCACCTGCAGCAGCTCCCTGCACGTGCGCCCCACTGCATCCCCCTCGTGCTGCACCCGCAGCTCCACGCAACTGTAGCGGATGCTTTTGTGCTTGTGCATGCACCGCTAAATCCAGGCCCTAACCACCCGCTTACAGCGACTGAGAGAACTACTAGCTGGTGCTAATGGATCTATGTCTGTGCAGAACCGGGGGTGGGTCTTCTTCCTTTCCACCTGCAAACTACTGGCTCTTATCAGCCTCTTGTCACTGTTTGGTCTTTAAGATGCCACCAGACTGTTGTGTTTTACGTTTTTCTCCTTACAGACTAACTTGGCTTCCCCTCTGAAACTTATCTACTCACTGTCTCTTTTTTTTCTTCCTCCCCTCCATTTTTGTTTCCTTCTTCACCCCCCCCCCTTCCTCCCTTCTTACCTTATTTATTCTTGAAGCTGGACTTCTAACGCTCCTATCATCTGAAGAAGTACCCACGAAAGCTCGTGATAATTAAGGTGCTTTAAGACTCTTTGTTTTTCTAAGTTTTTCTTGTTACAGACTAATTCGGCTACCCCCTGAAGCTTTTGAGATAGTACATATGGGCTTTACAGGGCTCCCCACCTCTGTCCTTGGAGTTGGGCAGATGTAATTTCCCTCTCCAGGGGCAGGGAGGATACTCACCTAGCTGCCCTAAATAGGTACCCCCAGCATACAGGCAGATTTAAATGTACAGCAGAGTGCTATGCCCCTGCTCTGCCCGTGCTCCCATAGTTATGTCTAGCATGTTAGCTGGATGAGACAGCTAGTATTACTATGTCTATCACAGCTGGGAATCACATTATACTCTCTCCCCCTCCCCCCCCTTAATAACTGGCTTTGTGCAATCATCTGTTTAGAAAATCTCAGGCTACGTCTACACTGCAGGCTTCTTGCTTTGCACAAGAGTTCTGCCATGTGTTTTTGTGCAAGCGCATCCATGGCTGTGTGGATGTGCTCTTGCACAAGAAAGCTCTGATGGCCATTTTAACCATAAGGGTTTCTTGTGCAAGAAACCCCTATTGCCCATCCACACTGCCTTCTTGCGCAAGAGGGCTTATTCCTTGTGGGCAAAGGAATAACTCTTATGCAAGAAGCCTTCCGTTCTGACACTTTACTGTAAATTTACTTGCACAAGAACACACATGCAGTGTAGATGTTCCGCACGTTTTTGTGCAAGAATGGCAGTTCTTGCACAAGAAGCCTGCAGTGTAGATGTAGCCTCAGTGTATATTGCACTAAAGCCTTTGCAATAGGCGCTGCTGCATTGGGAGCTTAAACTTAGACCAGGACTGGGCAAAATATGGCCTGCAGGCCAGAGGCAGCCAGCAGAGCCAGCCTGCCATCCAGTGAGAGCCTTGGCCAGGCTCCCTGCCTGACCCATCCCTGCACACTGCTCAGAGCAACCAGTTGCGGGAGCCTATGCATCTCTGAGCACCACCCTGAGCAATGGGGAAGAAAGACTTCACGCATTGCTCTGCCCATAGCACAATCTCACAGATCCCATTGGCTGGAAACTGGCCAATGGGAGCAGCCTGTTTGCAGTTCAGGCAGTGCACAAAGTACACCCTCCCTTTGCTCGCAGTAGGAAGAACAGCATAGGGCCCCCACAGCCAACCCCTCTCAGTGGTATATGGAGATATGGTGGGCAGAGATACTGTCTGAAGGACCTGCTGGTTGGGAGTCCCTAAGCACCCCCTGGCCATAGCCTGCCTCTAGTACCCCAGCCCTCTGCTCCCCATATCCCCATCCCCTGCACCCAGCTCCTCCATCCAGACCCCCTCCCAGACCCTGCAGCCCAATCCCTTGGTTGCCATCACTACCCAAGTCCCTGCACTCCTCCTCCAGGTCAGAATCCTCTCCTGAACCTGTACCCCCTCCCAGACCCAGCACCCCAATTCCTTCCCCTGGGTCACAACCCAAACCTCTTCTGCCTCTCCTGTTACCCTGCCCCAAGTCACAACCTCCTCCCAGAGCCTGCACCCGCTCCTTCATCCCAATCCCCTGCCCCTGGTCACAACCCCCTCCTTTACCTAAACTCCCTCCCAGACCTCATGCCCCCTCCAGCACCATAATCCCACATCCCCAAGCGCTCTTCTGCACCCAACCTTCATCCCTGACCCTCCAGCCTCCTCCTTTAATATCATGGAAGGGTGTGGCCCTTGACCACTTACCAAATTCTTGGCATGCCCCCTCATCAAAAATTATTGCCCACCCCTGACCTAGACCATGGATCACCTGCTGTAGTGAGGGTTAATAGCTTTTGAAGATCTAGTTCTCTAGCCCAGAAACTGTGTTATGGCGC